TAGAAAATGTAAATTAATATAATTATAATTATAATAACCATAACAATAACAATTGCTTATCCTACGTGATCTCCAAGACTTATCATATACATGAAACACATGATAGTCATTTTCATTTTTAGATTCTGGACGAACCTTCATTCGACGTTCAGCTTGTGATTTTTCATAATTGGTTTTGGATATTTTATCTGAATAGTATTTACCATCATTAACAATATCTTCAAGATCTTCTTTAAAATTGCCCCAACTTATGGAAGGAGCAAAATCAGTGAGATTTTTATCTTTGGTATTAAGCATATGGTGTATGCCTCTGATTCTTCTATTTTTTTTCTAGAATAATGGTAATTAATATCAGTTAATCAGTAGTTTATTCCTATTATACTGTTGCAAATTATTATATTTGTATTAACGATGCTTGTAGTAATTAGAATGGATTTTTGTATAATACAAATATAACAACTTGCAAAGTGCCCAAAACTTATTTCGATTAAATGAATAGGCCTATACATACCGATTGACACCTACTATTTATGCCTACCTTCTTTTTATTTTTCACTAATCTCTCAGGATTATTATTGATTATCTATTTTTCCTGATGATGTTGGTAAAGGCTTTTTAGAACTATTTTAATTCGCTCAATTTATACCTAAAATTGCCCTCTAGGGCCTTTCTGATTGCTGGCATAGTTTTTGTGACCATGTAGTGAGCTATTTCACTCCAATTTTTTGTATAATCCATATGTAACCTTTCATCAAGGTCATCTGTTATTTGAACCACCTCATTCTGTACATTAAAATAAATATTCATTAAACTGATAGCTCTATAATTACTTTTAACATAAATTTGATTTTCAAATGCTGATACATACATAAAACAATTTATATTGCTCTTTATCCATTTCTTCCAAGATTTCACATGACCTTTTTTGGTAACTAGTAGATAGTTCTGGAGATACTAATGGTTTTTGCCAATTATTATTGTTATTATTACCAGCTTGCTGCTTTTGTTTACCTGTATTTGATGCAATGGTTGTAGGTGCATTTGCTGTTGTGGTTGCAGGTGCAATATCAGTGGTTGTGGTTGCAGATGAAATATTAGTGGTAGTAGTTGTGGGTGCAATATCAGTAGTGGTAAGACTATTGCTGATGGCATTATTAGAACTATTGGTACCATTTTGGGGGGTGATAATACTGTTACTGGCATTGTCAGTGGTAGTATTGCTATATTGATAGTTGTTTGTAATGGTTCGATAATTGTTACTGGCATTGTTAGTAAAATGATTATCATTCATTTCATTTTCCAGGTCTGTTAGTCTACAGTCCTCTAGCGAAAATGATAATCTGGTATTATCAGTAGTTCTAATGCCTTCATCACTTTGATAATTATAGACATTGTTACCTTGTTCTTGTACGCTTGAAGTTGGAGGCCAGAAAGCTTTTTTTAGTTTTTTAACTTTGCTTATTAATGAATAAACTGCTTCCTTCAAAAAACTGATCTCTAGTATTTACAAAATAAACTGTTAGACCTATCGGTATATAAATAGCTTTATTAAAAAAAAAGTCTTAATAGTACTCCTATCACTTCTGTTAGATGTCCTAGAATGTCTATTGGAATGTCTATAATTTCTTTTATGAGAAGGAGAGTGGGACCTGGACCTGCATATAGATCGTTGTTATCGATTAGAATGAGGTAACATTGATGACCGATTGCGGCTTCATGAAGTAGTTCTAGAATAATTTCAGCTTTGTAAAGATGTCAAATGATAGCTTTGTTGTGGTGACATAGAAGAGGAAACTGATCAACATCAAAGTACTATTCTAATTTTTTGGACACTTTTTCTATGCATTTTGTTTTCCAAAACAAAAAGAACAAAAATGGCAAAAGTTTTTAGGCAAATAGGTTTTTATTAATATCAGTTGTTTGGTTAATTTAAAGAAAGAAAGAAAAAGACAAGAAAAACAGTTCTTATATTTAATAGTCTACTTTAGATTTTAATATGTAATGCTGTTGTATCTAATTAGGAATAACGATATTATGATTACTACTAAATAAAATATAAGCGAAAAGAAAAGTATGTCAACTAAAGTAGCTCAAATAAAAGTATAATATATTATTGATGTGAAAACTAAATTCTACTAACGTGTACTTAAGTAAAGTATGATATATTATATAAAAATAAAGAGTTAAATCAGTTAACATAAGCATAAAGAAAGCATGACTTATTTATAGATTAAAGT